CGAACTACTTTCACCGCCGCCAACGTGTGCCCGTCCAGCGATAGGTCCCCGGCGGACTCCAGTCGAGTTTCCCCCTTTTGTTCGATGAACAACCGGTCCTGCGCCGTTCACTCTTCGGTGCCAACCTACCAGGGCAACGTCGGCTTCTTTGTGTGACGTCGCTGGAATGCAAAGACTGATCTGATGGCTACGCTTCATGTCCCCGTTGACTGGTGCTTTCACGCCTGCTGACGCAATGCACCCATCATCTGTCATGTTGCAATTGCAGGATGGCCACTGGTCAAAGAAACGGTACGCTTTGGCCGCTATCTTCTGCTGACCGTGTTATAATGCAGTTCTGCCGATTGATGGCTGATCCGGGTTTGTCCGAACTATCGCTCTGCATTCCAGCATACTTATAATGAATCGTCAACAAGGCGAAATTACTGTTTTTTGATTCTCTGAGCTGTTGACCATCTTCTTGGTCGACAGTGAGATTACGGTGCCTTGTAGCTATGTTGTAAACCCTCTGCTGTGATAAAAATGAGACGTACATGAAGTTGAAGTGTTATAGGGTATGTACAACTGTTAATTAATAAACAAGTAAGAATCTGTGGCAATAATCATGCTAATAGCTGTAGGGCATGAACATTCATAATATAACTTTGTATATTTCTGCGACTTCACGTACTGAAAGATATATCGCTTCCTTAATGCTCTTCAGGCGAGGCAAATTTCCCTGCGCTTCCGCATAGTTAAGCAGTTCCTTAAGGTGCGTTCTCCATTGCCAGTACATCCTCTTCTTCGATAAGAAGGCATCCCTTGTCCCTGAGGACTCTTAGACTTCATTTTTTTCTGCATCAGAGACTGCAAATGGTCTGCGAGAATACTTTGTCTGTCGACTGGAAATTCGACTCCACCTCACGGTTGAGTGTAATTCCTTAATTTCGTAATGGCCCCTAATGTAAAGTGATCGGAGACAATTAGAAGTTCGTTTAAAGCAGCAACGCAAACAAGATGTAATATGCATAAGTTTAAACTGAGGTTAAATTTGCATGATTGCCGGTTAGCAAACAAACTGTTGTACGTCAGCGAAATCTGCTATCACTAATCGATTCCTGAATGTGGTACGATGACGGAAAAAGAGCTGGATCAGACTGGTGACAGTGAAGATGAATATGCATTGAATTTGGTTAACATTTCGACAGAGTCGATCATGTTTGAGGAACCTTTCTCCAAACAGAAAATCGAGAAGATAAGACTAATTAATCCTTCAGAGAAAACTATCGGCTTCAAGATAAAGACAACACGTCCATCATACCTTACAACGAACCCGGCTTTCGGAGTCTTGGAAAGTCACAGAGCATTGTACGTGCAGGCAAAATTCCGGGCTTTAACAGATGGAGCGAAGCCGCCAAAGAAAGATCGCCTTTCTTTCTTGTTTGCCGTAGTGCCTAAAAACCTTAAGCTAAACAAGCCATCGGAGCTCTGGAAGAGGACCGATGAATTCCCGAAAATCATACGTAGAATCACAGTGGAAATCAGCTACAGTCAGCCAGAGTCTGGCATGGGTGAAATTATCGAGGAAGGGCCTGTTGGAGAAGTTGAAGCACCGGCTGCTGAAGCACTACCAGAAAGCGAGAAGGAAGAAGTTGAAGAAGTAGCAGAACAAGAGGTGGAAATGGAGGAAGAAAAAGAGGAAACTGATAAAGAAAACCAAGTCGAGGAAGAAGAGCTGAAACACGCAGAAGAAAAAGATGAAGATGAACAAGACGAAGCAGAAAACAGTGACAAAGACGAAAAATGATGCTGAGAAGCTGCTTGTCCACAAGAAGCACAAATATATCACCAGCTGATGGTCTCGCGATGCCATTCAGTTAAACGACAGTCGACTTCACAGAAATACGCAAATTTACGATGCGATTGTTACTAAAATTGAATATTACCACCTGTTATTCAGTACTTCTAATATTGCACAACTGTCCAACTTTAAAGAATAAAAGTTGAAAGTTAGTAACAGTAAATTCATGCGACCCAGACTTAACTAATTATGAATTTACGCTGAACCCTGGTCGATAGAGCTTCTTGTGCCCTATGATATCAGGGCATGATATTATCGCCTTGCCTTTCTGTCAAAAGCATTTATTACACATCTAGATTGAGGAATCATCAATATCCATAGACGGCATGGAAAATACCTGAAAATTCACCACTGAGTCAGAAGACCTTGCGTGGTCAAGATTTTAAACTTCAATTTTAGTACTGAATCGGCTTTGAATATTAAAGGATAAAATTTCGTCGTGCTATCTACACTGTCAAACAAGGGTTACCACATATGAGCAAGAAAGACAGA